ATGGCTCGACTAATTAACTCATTTAGCGCTTTATCCTCAATAACTCTTTGTAATATGCGGATAAACATAAACGAGCAAATTAACGAAATAATTAACACATAGACAATACGGCTCCGAACATGTCTACTCTCAACGAGCCATGTTCCACCAATTTCTCCCCTCTCAGTTTTGAAATCAATTATCTCTACGACTCCTCCCCTTTCGGTTCTAAAAGTCACAATTCGATTAGAAGGTGTTTAATCAACTAATCATGTAGAATTAACAAACTCTAACCCAACATATCAATATTCGATCACAAATCGAAGTGTCACTCTTCGATTATATCAACAAATTAACCTATGTGTCACTCTTAGGTTATAACAATTTATCAAGTATGATTTTATCAATTCATAATTAAAACAACTCGTCAAGATTGAGCTATCGTCATGCACATAAATGAGAATAAACCGGAGTGATTATCCCCTAACCCTAGCCAGAGGATTAGCTACTCAAAATTGATTTAACACAAGCATTCATATCATACCAAGCCATCATCATCATCATAAACATAATGAGAAGGAGAACTTATTAATAATATGCAATCCAATGTCAAATGCAAGTACAAGCCAAATCCAAATTGCAACAAGTCTCCAAAGTGTTCTTGTCAAACTTGAAGAACCAAAGAAAAACCAAGGAGAAAATCTAAGAAAAAGTGAAGAAGAAGAGAAGTGAATGAGGAGAGATGTGAAGGAGTGAGGTGGTTAAGTGGAAGAGAATGGAGGAAAATGAGGAAGGAATAAGGGAAAAATGTTCTTGGGTCCAAAAATCCCGTTTTCCAGGTGAAATGTCGGTCAAAAGAGCTCTCCACCCAATCACAATGTCTCAAAATCGAGGATTTTAAAGTCTGCACATTCAGGCCTCCGCGGCCGTGGCGCAGAACAGCTCCGCGGCCGTGACTTTTGATTTTAGAAAAATCCTCGCGACCCGCGGCGAAGAAAACTGGACTGCATTGCGCGACTTTATGTTTTGGGCTCGTTTGAACTCGTCCGAACTCGGAATTGAGTTCTATTTTTTGCTATGCGTCGCCAATGAAACCCTCTATTCAATGATGCTTGAATGTCCAAATTATTCTTGAAATCTTATTCTCCAAAAGCTTATGACCAGCACACTAAAAACGTGTTTCGCGCGACTTCATGTTTTGGGCCCGTTCAGACTCGTCCAAGCTCAAAATTGATCTCCGCTTTTTCCCACATGACGTTGAAGAACCCTACTACGCAACCATGACTACCCGGTCGATGTTCGGACTAAATCAATTCCTCACGGAGCTTTCGACCTGCACACCAAAAATGAAGAAAAACCGAAAAAACACTCGAAAAACACAAAGGAAACTAATATAAAGGAAAACATGCAAAAAAGTACAAAACGAACTAAAAATCAACGAAAGGACCTAAAATAGGGAAAAAAGGATAATAAAACAACGACAAAAAATGCAACAAAAATGGGACAAATAGCCGGAACTCGCCTCTGAGGGAAGACCCGACTAGTCACTCGGCCGGTGAAGAGGCGACTGGCGCACAAGAGACAGGGACGAGGGTTTGGAAATTGGGGAAAAAATAAAAGAGAGAAAATAACTTTAGCTAAAGTAATAACACTTGGACATGAGTTTAGCAAAAAAATTTGTTTTTCCCATTCAAGACAATGTCATACACATTCATATAAACATGAATGTTTGATCAGTTGTCTATGAGTACATTGTGCATGAGTACATTATGTTTCATCAGTTGTCATATACCTTGTCTATGTCTATGAGTACATTGTGTTTGATCAGTTGTCATATACCTTGTCTATGTCTCTAAGTACATTGTGTTTGATCACTTGTTTAGCAAAGAAGCATTCACCATTCTCATAAAACAAGAACAACATTTTTAGGGGTGTGCATCGGTGCGGTTCGGTGAAAAACCGCACCGAATTGAAAAAATCAAAAATCGAAAATATATATTTTTTCAAACCGAACCGCACCGAACTTGGAGGAAAAACCGAACCAAAACCACACCGAAATTTTCGGTTCGGTTCGGTGCGGTTTCGGTTAACCGCAAATAGTTGAAAGAATCCAAAATAAATCAATTTGAAGACAAATTAGGGTTCTTGCAAAAGAAAAGAAGAAGACATAGAGATATTGAGAGCTGACCTAAATTGATGTCGGCGATGAGCGAGTGTCGGAGGTTGAGCAGCTGACGGTGAGAGCCTGAGCCTGTGGATGAGCGAGTGCGTGAGTTTNGTGACTGCCTGAGAGAGTTGAGCTTGGCAGACCGCAGACGAAAGAGAACTTCACCAAGGTAAAGAAATTAGAATTTTAAGTTCTTGCTAATTGTAAATTGTTTTATTAATCTATATATATATATAATAAGAATTAACATTTTTCAAAAATAGTAAGCAAAAAAATAGGGAATATTAATTGGTAACTTTTTTAAAATTATTTGAATAATTGGAAGTTGATTTATAATTTCAATTTCAAATTCATTCAAACATTTAAAGGAAAATATCATAAGCAGATTTTTTTGATACATTTCATTTTATCTCAACTTACATATAATCACATTCCTACCAAACATTAAATTTACTTTTATCTTTTTAAATTAATTACATCAATGAATAATATTAATATAAATTACATATTTATCATTATATAACAAATATATTACTTCTACAAGTGTTATAATAATAATGACATTATATGATAATAGATTTTTTGATAGATTAATAATTGAGTATTATGATGAACCAAAATATGTAAAATTATTATTATTTTGTATTAAAAATAAATATATATGTTAAAATATTATTTATATAATAATATAAACGGGTCAGCATGCTAATATATTGTGAAAATAAAGTTTTAAAAAAAAGTTCTAAAGTACGAAAACTTCGTGCATCGCACGGGATTCTCACTAGTTGTTAATTATATTGTTACTACTTTATAAATAGCCAAGGCCCAAGTCCCAAAGGCCCCAAACCCAAAGGCCCAAAGTGCAAAGCAAAAAGAAAAACCTGTGTACCCTACACAAAAGCCATACAGTACAATACAAATACATTGCATATTAACACATTCAATGCGGTTCGGTTAAAACCGCACTCTTCGGACACAAAACCGAACCGTACCGAACTATTTGCGGTTTTTCAAATTTTTAACCGCACTGCAAAGGCGCAAACATAACTTTTAAAAAACCGAACCGAACCGCACCGAATACATCAGTTCGGCTCGGTTTTTTGGTTTGGCTCGATTTTGCTCACCCCTAAACATTTTAAAGCTCCTACAAAAAGCATGGACAAAATTTTATAGTATCAAGTCATGGGATTACATAAAACAAAAACATCCAAGTCATGGGATTACATAAAACAACGGACAAAACAATATTCAAATAAGACTATTTTAAAGTTCCTACAAGTACAAGAACACAAGCCACTGTTCAAATCTATGATTTGAGGATGAAATTGGTCGGGCCATTGTTCAAAGCTGCGAAGTAGCCATAAAACAATACAAGGACGAGTATGAAGACAACCTTGGCTGCTGCAAATTTGAGTAGCCTCATATTCTTCTATCTCGGTGCTTTATTGTTATCCTCCAAAGCGTTAACCCTTCTAAGGAGCCCAGGTATAATGACTTTTTCTCGGCGAAAAATCGGAGGGTCCATACACTCAATAAACTTGCATCCTCCTCTCTAAATTAATTGGGGGAGCTCAATATGAAGTACATTTTCAAGCAAGAATCCTACTCTACAACAAATTTTGAATTACTAACCTGCCATGACAAAAAAGAGTGAAACCTCCTACCGGGATTATCATCTGTCCACGATGTGCGGAGGGCAACCCTTTTTCTGCATTGATAATCAAGGGAGCTTGAAATGAAAGACATTTTTTCAAAAACTTTCTTCCACGAAGCAGAGCTTCAAGAAAGAAGAAATAATTTTGAAATTAGGGTTTAATTTTGATTTTGGGGCTCGTTGATTTTGAGGCTAGATTTTGATTTATTTAAAATTATTACAAAAATGACATGGAAAAACATTTCGGAGTCCACGTTAATTAATTGGCTAGAGATCGGTTCATATCAGCCTAGTCGAGGCCCAAATTTGCCAACTCAGCAAATTCTTATCAGATTTCGACTACCGAGATCGAAATTGGACTAATTTGACTACATTTTAGAAATTTGTGGACTAATTTTGGATCGGCCTAAATTATTGGACTACATGGGAAACGACCTAAGTTACTGAATTAAAATTGTAATTTTCATTTATCTTACCAATGATTGGACCAAATGTCAGCACAAATAGAAACTCTTTAGTTTAAATTTTTAAAAGTTGTGCGGAAATTAAGGGCATGATTGTTTATTAACTAGAAGCCAATTTAACTAGTTTTTAACTAAAAAAGTGGAGGGATAAACTAGTTTGTTACTAGATGGGCTTCTACTTGGTCCACGTGCCTTCCCCCATTTTCACACTTCATGTCAGGTTGTACAGTAGGTTGTCGGCATTTGTTGAGCAAATTATAAAATAAAAAATAAAAAAATAAATAAAAAAAAGAGAGAGAGAGATATGAGGCTTGCATTTCCATGACGTGCTAGGCCACTTTTCGGAAATAGAAGGGACGATTGTCAATTTTTGTTTTGTTATTTTTTTTTTTGTTACATTTAAACTTAATTTGGTAATTTTGTTGGCCCAACAACAAATCTATGCACAAGAAATACATCATGGATATCTCGTTTGAACATTCATGGCAATATGTATTTGTAATAAACACACCCATGTTATGTTTTGTTTTTAAATAACTATTTTTAAAAATTACTGGTTGCTCGATAAAGGTAAATGGAGGAATTACAACATGGTTATCTTATTTCAACACTCGTCCTAATGCTACAAAAAAAAAAATACAAAAAAAAAGTTCTGTGAAATATGATCAATCATATTTTCTTCAAACAAGCAATAATAATTGTCATTTCACAATTTTTATTTGAAAAATGAAATGGCTATACATACACCAATGAAGATTACATGTCTGACAATGAAAGGAAAGACATTATTATTAAAAGTACATGTGCGACAACAATCTCAATTTCCTCTCCTTCTTCTTTGTGTTGCCATACGTCTTTCTTCGGCCCAGTAGTCGCAAATAGCTTGGTCAAAGCTTGCGATGGTTACGTTCATCTATCGCCCTCGTTTCACCAGGATATGGGTCAAGCCCTAGTGGTTCAAAAATTATCTTCAAGGTTTCCCATAGAGGATCAGGATTGTTGCTACAATAATGGTCTACTAATGGCCAAAACTGAGAGAATATGATGTACTCAAAATTACAATATTATTACATAACAAATGGAGTTAAGACAATGTTCGTAGTAGAACATATTTATATAACAAAATGAAATACACGGAAAAAAGAAAGACAAAGGAATTGTGGTTGAAATTCGTACCTCAAGTGCTTCCTCACGATCGTCCTCGTCAAGATAGACGGTCTTTGCGTGTATTTCGAAAACACCCAAAGGATAATCTAAAAAGTATTTAAATGTTCGATACCTTTCTTTCAATACCATGAATGTGGTATAACATTCTTCCAAAGTCAAATTATGGCCAATTTCACCCAAACAACTTCTATATATTCTATCAAACGCCAATAATATGTCAAATTCGGAGTTCAACCCTTCTGACTGGATGTAATGTAGAAGGATTGAACAAAAACACTCCTCAGCTGCTGCAAGCCATTTCCTTGAAAATCCTTCTCGTATATATTGGAAATGTTCTTCCTTTGTTGTTGGCAATGTTAAACCCACATAATTGACGTTATATCGAGTAATGGATGTTTTGCAGTGGTGATAATTCAAGAAATACATTTATAGTGAATTCCATGAACTTGGTTCTATATATAGGCATTACGACTCATTTCCATTTTTCGTAGGATAGTATTTGCATTTACAACTCATTTCCCTTTTTTTACATTTACAACCCATGCATGCCTTCGTACAGGATATTTTTTTCATTTACAACTCATTTTCATTTTTCGTTTTAAAAACCGTGGCCCACGCTAGTTGTCGTAAATGGTGTCATATTTTTTGCCTATTTCTTTTTTCCTCACTTGTCATTAATGAAAAATCTTTTTTTTCCTATTTCTTTGTTCATCACTTCGCATAAAATGTTGGGAGTACAGGGTCTTTTCTTTGCACATCAATAATGTTTATATGAATTAACTATAACTTTTATAAGTCATAATATGTTTATAATATGTACATAATTATATTCTCTTCAAATACATTTTTGTAATTCATATGAAGATCATATGATGTGGAAACATTACATAAAAAATGAATATTCATTTTAAAATCCGTTGGTTGAACTTGGAAAATAAGTCAAATCTATTTAAAAGATACAATTTGCATTAACATCCCGAAAAATTCCATACATAATAGATACATTAGAAAAAAACATACACGAAAAATAAAAGTAACTCGTAATAAAATATTTTCCTTATATAATGATGAATTTAAGAAGTGCTACAATATTAAAAGCCCAACCACCACAAAGAAAACTCTAACGATATCTGGGGATGCAATTTCAAAGACTGGCGGTGTGTCATTGTTCGTTGGCGCATGGGACGTGCTTGAGCAGTTGGACCCACGGGTCGTATGACTGCTACTTTGTGCATTTGATTGCATATTACAATATGTTTGAGCACTTTCCCTTGACGAAAAAAAGCAATTACTCTCGTCCTCCCAAAGAAAACTCCCCTTGTGTTTTAATCCTGCTGGACAACTATAAAAATACCTATCCTAATTTTTTTCAGTTTTAGCCATACGACGGGACATCCGGCCATTTCCGCAGCAACACAAAGGTGGTTGAGAAACCATGATTTATTTTTCTTGATGATTTTTTCGTGGGCAAAGGTGGCTTATATAGCTCCCGAAAAATTTTTCCCCCCTCAAAATCCCGGTTTTCCCTTTTTTTCTTTCCTACTCACTTTCACCCTATTTATTCACCTTTTTTACCATCTTCCTTACTTTTTAATACCAATAAATGAATGAGATAAGACTTCCTGCCACATGCATGTGCCAACCTCAGTCTGCACATAATAAAAAGAAANAATAAAGGTTACCACTGTACTTGCATTGAAAAGATGAAAAGACCACTCACAATCAGACTTTGGCATTAGGGTTTTATTTTTTACACACAAAACCAGATAAAGCCACAACGTCATATACCTGTTATTGGCCAACCGAGCGTTCGCGAAATTTATTTTCGAGGTCGTTAGTGTTCGACAAAATCTCGTTCATTTGTTAATCGAATGAACAAAAGGTCAAAATCAACGTTCGATAAGCTACGCAAATATATGATTAATATTATTTTATTTTACGTAACCTAATTATAATAAATGTGCAAATTATAATTTTGGGTAGTTTTTTTTTTTAAAAAATACTCCATTATTCTATTTTCGCGTTCCAACGAACAATCTGTAACATGAGATTTTGTAATGTAGAAGATATGAAATAGCCCGAACAATTGGTCGAACGAAAACGCATATTTTGAAAACACCTCAAAATCGCTATTATATACTTGTATGACCAATGGCATTTTGAACTTTTCAATTTATCTTTATTCATAATACAAAAATAATCGTGTATACGTGGGCCAATATGCATGGCTATCCATTTGTTTGTAAAACAAGTGCATGTGGCTCGTAATGGACTTTATTTGGATTCTATAACTATAAGGAAAAGAATTTCTTGTATACTAATATGAACTACAAACATACTGACAATTTGTGTAATTTTTGTTGCACTACACATATATAAAATGATGAGGATGAATATACGAACATGAATTATAACATAATATTATGATTCATGAGTACTACAAATCGTCCAAAACAATGACATTTTCAAACACAATGTTCGAACAATAACACGAGTTCACAATAAATCACGGGCTACCCGAAAGAACACGAGTTCACTCTCAACCAACATGAGTTACCTCGAAATGAACACAACAATACGGAACTAATGTGAAGCACAAAGTTGAGCCTTCAACCATTTCAGTAGCCTCCACAAATTCCTCCGCATACAAATTTTGCATCAAAACCTTTCCATGCCCTTGAACTATTTGTAGTTCATATGTCATCCCCTCAAACTCCAAAATTGCTCTGAAAGTGTCGCTGGGATCGGTAAGGACATAACATCACCAAAAATTTATAGGAATTGGCTGCAATAAAGGGTACGTCAAGATGCGTTTCAAAAAAAAAACAAGAAGAAGAACGCAAAAAAAAGGATATTAATACACCATTACCAAGCGCGCACGTTCAACATGGGTTTTCTTGATTTCTAGCGTGAAGCAGTGGCGAAGTGGACGCTCAACTTGATTGTCTGTGTGGACTGTGACTATGAAATCTGTAAACAATGTGCGATCGAACCACAGACAGTTGTCGGTCTTAATCTCCTCACCATGCACAAAGTTTAGCCACCCTTCAGCAAAAACCACCCGAAAGCAATTACCTCTCAGTGTGACGTTATACCTCCGCCCCTCTCTTGTGGTAATGGTGCACTGAACCGGTATAAGTTGGCTATATTGATGGTTTAGAGCGTCGCGGAGATTCTGCGTTGAACGTACAAAAAACAAAATGACGATTTATGTGATATTATAGCCAATAGTTGACGACGAAATTATAGTTAAAACGAGGATTCGAATTACGCAAACCTACCAATGCTGGTTTGTCCGGATTGACAATGTACTTGAAGAACCTTTCAAATTGCTCGGCCATGTTGTGTTACGTGTTATGTACGTGGTTAAGGCCTAAGACAAAAATTCCCAACTTCAGACGAAGTAAGGTATAATATTATAGGAAAATAAATAACAATTCTTGGACACGAGCAATGTAGGGGGTAACCCGAAGGTACAACACACATACAAATATGGGGCCGAAATGTATGACACGAAATGGGAAGTCCGTTCAGTCTGCAATTCCGAAATAAAAGAGATTAAAATATATCGCAACTCCGACAGAATAAAATTGCTTCCAAGTTCAACCGTTGGTTTTGAGAACACAACAATTAAAACCTAAAATTGGCAATTTGCAGGGCATACCTCTTACATCGATTGGTGCTTCTTGTCCACTTCGAGTGTGACGGTACCGAGGGGCAATTGTAGAGGGTCTGTAGATGGAGAAGAAAGTGAATTTCTCTTTCGGGCTTTGGGGGAATGGGCAACACTGGTGGAAACCGGACAAGTATTGGAATGAGCTATGTCGGTCCTCGATTCCACCGCCTATCTCGGCTCTTGTAATTGTCTTTTTTTGGTCAAATGGTGTTGATACAACCACAGACCTCCGCTTCTTGTTTGTACCGAAAAAGTGGACGGAGAAGCATTGGAAAAATGTCCTTTTTTGGTTGTTCTTGGTTGTACCGAAAAAGAAAAAGTAAAATGGACTTTTACTTCCAAAACCGAAAAATATATAAAAATTATAAAGAAAAATAAATAAAACCAACCCAATTATTGTAAAGAGAATTTCTAGGCTTATGTAATGAGGAAAGAAATAGGCATACATTTTTCAACTTTTCAGATTTTTCTTACAGGAACATGGTAGATATTGTGTTAATAAGAAGAATATTATGTTAAAACTGAAGAATATTGTGATGCACCGATTTTGCTTTTCTATTGTTGTTTAATTATAGTGGACCAAATCTTACTTTTACTATTGTTTTTTTAATTTTGCTTATATTGCTTCCAATCTTTTCTGAAATACTGTTTTTGTAACTTGTGAAATGTGTGGGCCCACCACTACATATATTTATAAAGGATATATGGTAGAGGGTAGAGACTTTCGTAAAGCAGAAAACAAAAAACAATGTTGTAACAGTCCATTCCACATTAGTCAACACCAACACCCCATTCCAAATTTTTCTAATTAAAAGAAGGTCTATTTTCGTGTGCAAATAAAGGTGTAACAGTCCCCATTAAATTCTATAATAAGGATGGGTGGTTGTATCGGGTAAAAGAGTGGTAACAAATGTGTGGGCCCCCATTTTATTTATGCTGAAAACGAGTCTTCCTCCACTCACACGGCTCAAGTGTATCAGGAGAAAAGGCATCCTCTCTCCTATTACCGCACCCACCGGAACAAATTCGTAGCTCAGCATTGAGGTAGGCTTTCATCACTTTCGTCTTTGTAGGAAGAAGATAAAATATGGTGCACAATTTGTGGCTGAAGTGTTTTTGGCGAGGCCATTTTCAATTTTGTATGAGAAAGAAAAAGAGCGAATATTATTGCTTTTTTCATCCTCACTTGAACGACTATTTGATTTAACCCGTTCATAAAAATTATTGCCGATACACGCAAGTCCGAACTTGGTATGGAAAATTGTCATACTTGTATATGCAAAAGAAATCCAGGCTGAAAATTTGTGGATTGAAATTCGAAATAACTTTCCATTTTTCTATAGACGCACGCAAATCTCCGTTTTTTTGGGATTTTAAGAAACATTGACCCGATTTTAAAACGTCATCTTTGTGATTAATTGCTATTCATTTTATAATTTACAATGGTAATTGATACATAGAAATATTATTATGTCATACAAATTACAAGAGTTTTTTTTTTTTTTAACAATTATTCCGTATGCCGATATTCCGTCACGTGAAGAAATATTTGTACAAGTACTTTTGAATGGCAAATATGTTTGACCAGTTTGTCACAATAATTACGGATGCAAGCAGCCCGACGTTAGTAAAAATTTGGCCGATCGAAATAACATGTTTTTGTTTTAAATGGTAATATTAACTTCAATACAAATCATGTCACCATAAATTGCACTATTGTTACTAGGGAGAACCGTACTTATGAAGTTTGGTTGGTGAAAGTCGGAGATCATTTGCAATTTGGTGACGGTTGGGAATATTTCGTACGTGCGGAGGATATTCGCGAGGGCTACATCTTGTACTTCGAGCGCCAAAGCCTATATGATTTTGTAGTGAAAGTATTCACTTGAAACTCCGTTGAACGACCTCCGCAATATCGCTTCTTTGTGGAAATGAAGAAAACGCACGTAGAACGGGCACGTTTGGTACGTTTGTCGACCCACAAAAAATGAGCTAACATATAGAAAAATAAAAAAATGAATTTCACTGTTTTACTATTGTAGGCCATTCCTATGAGTTTTTGAAGGGAGCATATAGAAGACCAAATTGATGATACTAGTAGGGCAATCTTGATGTGTAAAGGAGGTCGTTACAATGTTCCAATAATCCAAGCGCACGGAAAGGCGTTGATGGAACATGGTGATTGCCGCGAATTTATGGACCGAAGTGGAATCGTCGAGGGCTCAACATGCGTTTTCACTTTAATTGGATATGAGTGTGTTGTTTTCAAGGTAAGGCTATTGGATACATGAGCATGTATGTTTGTTAGCGTCCAAAAGACACGTAGTTTGTATCTTCATATTAAAATGGAGTGGAAATCAAATTTAGACAAATTCACGTTTGACGGTGGCACGTTGCATGTTGTGAGATGTCTTCCAATAATCAGTCTACGTCTTGTAATATGTGCATGACTAGTATGACAAAGAAATCAAAAATTAAATTGGAAATGAACCACACCCGGAAGATGAAAAATTTCCAACAACTACTGTGAAGTTGACAGCAAAAAAATGAATTCACATGCCAACTCACCACTGTTTTCCATTACGGTTGTGTGTTTACTATTTATAAAATTTTTTACAAGTACTATTGTGTTTGGTTTTGTTTCGTTTTCTAGTGAACAATATGAATAGTATCGGTTTGGGATTTTTTTATTTTTTATTTTTGGTGTAAATATAACCAGCGGTGTCATGCATATTTTTTGTTACACTAGTACTATGTCAAGTCACCGTACATTACAACTTAAAGTATTATTTGGGGACAAAGGCTACAAATTTATGTGGATTAAGAACAACATTCAAAATTCATCAAAGAAACAAAGATACTAATGTAGGCCGAAATATCAATTTGGGTGTCCTTAATAGAATGAAAGGTGTGTTCGGGTTACATTAATACAAACGATGTTCGTTCTATCTTCGGTTCACCCACAAGGATTGCGCTATCGTGTCACGCAACACACAATGGTCATTGATGATGGGGTTGGAGTTATTATTATTGGACATAAAAGCAAATGTACGATCTTGAAGATCATGTTGGCGTACGTATTCTGGGTTTCTGAATTCAGGCGGCATGTTTTCGAGCGGTTCATGAATCCAAATAAAGTTATGTAGAACACAACATGCTATTACTATGTCGGTTTGCGAGTGGACTGTGTAGTTTGGTATCAGCCCCTTTATGATGGGGAACTTCCTTTTTAGCAAACCGAAGCTGCGTTCTATGACATTACGGACAGTGGCATGTCGTCTGTTAAACAACTCACGAGCATTGTCGGGCAACTGGTTAGACCCCAACCACTCTGGAAGATGATATCGTTCACCACGATATGGTGTCATGAAACCTGGGATATTTGCGTATCCAGAGTCCACCACATAGAATTTACCTACATTTTGAAATGTCCACCAGAACACAAGAAAAAATTGATAAATTTCAATATTATTTAATTAATAGCATTTGAATAGTGTGATGATGGAATTACCTGGAGGTGGAAAGGGAAAAGCATATCTGGGGTCGGACATAGTGTGATTAAAAATACGTGCGTTTACGCTGCCTTCCCAGCCGGCTAGGACGAAAGTGAACTTCAAGTCAAAATCACACGCCAACATGACATTTTGCGCCAAATAACCTTTCCTACATCTGTTAGAACCTTGTTGTCCTTCCGGCACCCACGCTGGTATAATAGTGCCGTCAATGCAATCCTAACATTAGAAATTACCATTTCAAATTTACAGTACAATGTTAGTTATAAAATATACGGTATTGGATAAATGAAGTGAAATATATTTACCTTGAAGTAGGGATATAAGTTACGATTATTTCTTATCCAAGGTGCCACACGGTTGAAGTCTAGGGGACGAATGTAGTCGAGAGCTAGATAACATAGAGCATTGATGACTTTGTGACAATGACGACTAATCGTCTCCCCCGAGTGTCTGAATGACTCAGCCGCACGTCGTTGCCTTTGATGACCTTTTATTGTATGAAGAAAAATGGCTACGCTTTCTTCAATGCCTATTTTTTGTTATCTTGTTGCTTCGTAGAATCCTGCTCTCTTGATTTCATCACAAAAGATGGTAAAATGACATTGATTTATGCCCATTGCATCTTTAAAGTGACGAGGATTTCCAGTTAATAGTTCATTTACCCAGTCCAAACCCGTGTAGGTGGATTCTTGGTAGGGGGTTCTTTTTAAAGGGGGAAATACAGACGACGAACTTTCAAAAATGTTTACAAGTTGTTGAAATTGAGCGTCCACCATTAAGGATGTCTCCATAGGATCATACTCTTCCACCGGCTCCAAATCACTATCAATGTCTTCAGGCAAATCATCAACATCGTCCTCATACGTGTCACTATCGTCAACATAAGACATCCTACAATTAAATGTATAATAAATACACGAATACAAATATCCACAAACAAATTATAACATAAGCATGCAATAGGCAATGTAGCTTGGAAACAAAGTTAAACATAGTACACTCGTACAGTAAATGAAGATAGACAAGGCCAACAAAAAATAAAGAGCAATAAAAAAGTTCGTCATCCCCCTTCACGCATCACCAGGGCCCTCATCTAACCACATTTTAATAATAGTACGACGTCTCTCGTCACTATTAATCGCCGCAAACATTCCTCGATTGGTGGGATCCCGCAATTTCTTGCAAACAAACTGGAAAAGATCTTCGTCCATATCAGGCATTGCTTGAAGGTCGCGCATAGCTTGTTCCATTGTCGTTAGCTTTGGGGGTCTATTGTTTCTTTCTCTAAGGGACACATTCAAGTCTGACCACGAATACATGGCCGTGTCGAAACTAGACTCTGTGCCTCTCCTCGGACGAACGTACCGCCTCTGCCTACCTTGTCGTGCATGAGATGTCGGGGTAACCATCGATTCGTCTTCTTCCTCCACGACAAAGTCCTGGCTCACATGTGCAGACGGCTGACCACCGAAGCTTCGTCCCTCAGCCACCCGTTGGGTTGATGCCCTCGCATTTAACCCCGTAGCAGTAGTGTCGTGAAAAATAGTAGAACAGTTCTTCATAATGCATACACACCTTACCCTCCATGCCATGGTCCCTTCGATTTGCCTATGCACGTGACATTAAAAAAAGAATTTTAACACGAGGAGCATAACACAGCAGCATTATCAAAACGAACAAAGGTCAGTAAATATAATAGACTTCTAATTTAAAGAAAATACAAACATGAACTAATAATCCTTCCAACAACATACAAGTACAGGCCGCATTAAACTCAAAGCACAAAATTCTCCTCAAAACAGCAATATGATAGGAAACAATTTGTATATCAGAACGAGGATGAAAAAATACTTACGGTTGTCCATTGCGCCCAAAATTCAGCGGGTCCTTCAATAGTTTTTTTTATCTTCATTCCATCCCAATCCGGTGGCGTTGGTGACTATGTTGTGAAACCGTCTCCAATACACTTTCATACATTGGTACTTACTCTGTAGCTGAGCAACTTTGTAAGGATAGTAAATAGGACACCTCTCTGTCAACTTCCCAAGAATGGTCCCCCATTGATTAGGTGTGAACTAACCGGCTACACGGTTTCCTAGCTGGACTTCTTCCAACAAAACACCGACAAATGCGGCTTCATTTTCGGGAGGAAATTTTGCGTCTCCTTGACTATTATCAGTTGAAGTACCAATACCACCGGTATATGACATCTACAATTATGACATATAATAAACCAACTACAATGTGGTATGGTACTCTTCACATGTTAAAATAAATATAAAAATTCGAAAAAAATGAAAGAAATGCATATTTGTTCTACATTGTACACATGCAACAATAACATGTAAAATCAAAAGTAGTCTACATTTGGAATTGAACTTTGAAAATTACCCAACATATGTAATTAAATGTAATGTCTATGATCCCCAATTTTGTTCCCAACGATATCCCTAACCGAAAAAAATGAACATTTCAATATCGGTTCCTCCTGCTTCCATCTACACATAGGATCCCCAATTTCATAACGCACATAAATCCCGAATATATTCTACAGGCTCTACAAATAGCTATGGTCCGTTCAAAGTGCGGCCCAGTTGTAAAGCCAAATCGTTTTAAACAACCATATATAAGCAGAATTTTTTGGATGCATAAAAGCGGGCAAAATCTACCTTTGTTGGCCGGAGTCTTTTCTTTTTCGGAGATGTGACGGAGACGCTCCTGGTGCTCTCGGTACTTTCTTCAGGGCGGCGATCCAACCGTGCTTCACCGTCGTTTCTTTCTGTTGCCGGAAGTGAACTCTTTGGGGAGAGCTCCATACGCAGAAGAGGTGGTTGAGGAGTTTTTATTGAGGAAATTTTGTGGGGCGCCGACAAGATGGGGAATCATACAGCTATTGCGATTTGAAATGTGAAGAAATCGGTCAAAAAGGAAGGGGGAGGAAATGAATCTTGTGCAGACCTCGAAATTGGGCAAAAAAAAAAAGATGAAACATAATTGAATTTTGCTGCAGGAGTGTTGGTGGATGTCGGCTCTTTTAAGTGGGCCCAGAGTAAACACTCAATTGATATCCAATCACAAGCCCAACAGTGTTTTGGGTAAAATATCAGTTTTTTTCTAGTCCAATTGGTATCCAATCACCCCCTAAATTTTTCTCACCCACTGTATATCATATATCGCGGTGAGAGTTGTACGTGGAATCCGAGACGCGATCAGGTTTACAGCCATTTGACTAAATTTTCATATAAAACAGAATCACTAATCGAAAGGAAGAGATGAAGCAAAAACAAAATCGCTAGATTACATCTTTGGTTTTTATGAGAGTATTGAAATAAAGAAGAACATGTTCCAGTCGCAATTGCAATACTACTTCTCGGGACATGCGTCATATATACATGCATTTTAGAGTAACTCCGTACTCATTTTTTCATAGTTATATATATATATATATATATATATATATATATATATATATATATATATATATTAGTAAACAATGACGAAGGTGTTTTATTTTGAGTTGTAATGGAAAATGCGGTCAAATCCCCCCTATATATTAATTCAGAACGTGCTGAGCCTATGTGGCAGGCTCGCATGATTCGGGATCCTATGTGACAAAATTACATGCTTCGTTATTAGACTTGGGTAGATTTAATTTACTTCTAATCCAAAAATATTTAGGTTCGAATGATCTATAAATATATTGATTATTTATGGTAGGGGTGGGCACGGTCCGAGACGGTACTGGATTTGACTTTTATGAATCCGTCCATGAACAGTTCGGGATGAGGCACCATCCCCACCCATGTTATACATGGATATTGTACTAGTTAATTTTAAACAAGAACGATAAAAATTGGTCGGGTGACGGTAAACGAGATGTGCACTGGGACGGGTCCAAAATACAACTTGTTTGAGCTAGAAATAAAAGGCAGGGCCAGCCCATTTTGAATGATAGTTCAGCGAGAAAATTACCCCCGGCACGGCTTCATTTATTTTTATTTCCCAAGACACGAGTTTAGAAATTTCAATCCACTTCGACATTAAGTAGTTCATATTTACGAGTTTATAAACACTTTAATCTCATAAATATAGTCTTTGACTTCTTTCAATTAAATCCCTCTTTAATTATCTCTATACACAAAGCCTAATCCTCCCTTGTCTGCATCTCGCCGCCAACAAAGGATGGACATATCGCGGCCAATCCTCCCCGTCCAGAAGGTCTGCATCTCGCCGTCAACAAAGGATCGGCATCTCGCGGCCAGCGTCACCCCTGCTTTGAGATCCTCTCCCCCTCCGACTCCCTCCTCCCGCCGCCTGCACCGTTCGCCGCCCCGATCGAGGTGTGTTTACTGATATAGGGTTTAGTAAATTTCAATTTTCGTCGGCGATTCCGACATATCGATGCTTTAAACCGCCGCTTCTTATATGGGATCATAAATAAGGCATTCATTTAGTAAATTTTTTGCTTCGGTTGTTTCATTGATTGATCTTAGATATATGAGTTGGATTTGAGATCTGTAAAAAATGGTGATGGGATTCCATCTACCCGAGGCCCGAGAAGCAAATCGTGCAGATGACCATATCATATGGTGTTCGTCTGGGTCGAATCATGGTGTTCAACGATCCGCCGGCCATTAGTGAATATGCAGTTGTACAATATGAAAATGGAGTTCTTTTGAAGTACTTAATGCCTTCTGGTAGAAAACTTCTGCATATGGAAGGCCGGGGGATTGGGGAAGCCATTTATGTTCTTGTTAATTTCTAAATAATTTTTGTTAATTTTTAAATAATTTGTTTGTTAGTATGTGTTATATTTGTGTTTTGAATGATTTTGAGAGTTAAAGTGGTGTTTATTTATTATTTGATTATGGTTATTGATTGGTTTTTTTTGCTCTTATTTGTAGTTTATATTAACTTTATATTTTTTATTGATTTATTTTTGTCAAATAAACTTAAGATAAACTTAAGGTGATCTTAAAAAATTGATAGGAGAAATAATGATAGATTCAAAATAAAAAAGATATTCTATACATAGAATTGGATTTATTTTAAATTGGTCGATTTGTTGAAAAAACTTTTGAAATTAATTTTTTATAGAGATAATATAATAAGTACAAGATAAACTTAAGATACACCAAAAGTTCAAATTAAATTTTAATAAACTATAAATAAACTAAAGATAAACTATAAATAAACTAAAAAGTTAATAGGAGAAAGAGGAATAATTGTTTTCTGGCGCTAAGATAAATTTAAGATAAACTTAATATCTATATCTATATAATTGCTAGCTAAGCAATAAATTTTACCTAATAAACAAAACCTAATAAATTTCACCTATGTGGCAAATCATTAATAAAACCTAATAAATAGAACCTAATAAATTTTATTTATGTGGCATTAATACACCCAATCTCATTAATAAGAAAATATTTCATTACATTTTTTGGGTTAATTAAGACAAAAACCATTATATTTTATGTTAATTGATTAATAATTATATTTTTTATTGAATAATATAATAGTTAATATTAAAATTAGTAATTATATTTTATACTAAATAATATATGAAAGTTACATAAAATTATATTTTACACTAAAATCAATATTTTTTATATGATGAAGATGTTGTTTATTAATAAATTAATTTTTTTTATGTCATAGTAAAATTTCTTAAAATTACATAAGCAATTGTTATAATAAATGTAACATTTTTTAGCTAATTAATTGGTCATGATCACTCAAAATTATAAAAAGTATATATTTATTGCATTTTATGCAATCAATATAGTGATTCGTATACAATCAAATCGTGTGTACTATTTATTAACCAATGATCAAATTTTAAAATATAATACTATTATATAATTTATAATTTTAATATTATATACATAAATATAACTTATAATACTATATGTTTGAAATATAATGCAATTATATAACTTATAATTTTTATATTATATACTTAAATATAACTTATAATATTTAATTTTATTTACATCTGTGCAAATGCACAAGGTCGAATAATAGTAATATAATAAATATAAGATAAACTTACGATAAACCAAAAGTTTCAAGTTAAATTTTAATAAATTATAAATAAATTAAAGATAAACTATAAATAAACTAAAAAGTTAATAGGAGAAAGAGAACAATTGTTTTATGGCACTATAAGGAAGATTGTCGGGTTTCATGAAACCCTTCTCGTTGTCCAAGAAGAAGAGGAAATACGGGATGATAGGTTGAAGTTCTAGAAATGGAATTGTTTTAAAATAAGAACATTTGGGAAAAGTAGAGTAATGCACTCATGGCAAAAGATAAACCAAAACTCATGGCAAAAGATAAACCAAACCAAATACACACAAATTCGAAAAGGAAATTACTTCTCAATGATATGATTCTTGTTTCTATTATGTGTTGTTTTTTTCCCCTTTCTCTTTTATTGATATATTGAATTAATAAATTGATTGCACTATGGATTGGGATTGGTATAAAAATGCTTGAATTGGTTTTAGTTGAGATTTGAGGTTTGAATTTTCTGGTAATATATTGTCCAACAATACGAATCATAAATATATATTTTTTAAATAGTGCTGAACTATGAATTTATTGTTTAGTTTTAAATGATTTTATTTAAAAACAAGAAGTGATAAGGAAAAAAAATTCTCTGTGGTGAAACATGCAGATTCTAAAGAGAAAGAAAGCAAAAACTTATTCGATTCGCGTTTCTTTTTTCTCGTTATCTTTTTCTTTTTCTTTGTCTTCATTCTGTAATTTAGTATCTTCTTAAGCTTCTTCATATATTTCACTATTGAAATGAATTGCCTTGCCTTGGCTTTTGCTCGGACTAATAAATACTTTTGGATCCGCCGCTGCTAGGACACGTTTTTGGGAGAGTTTTTCAAATATTAAGAGACCTTTGGAGACTAGAAACACGTGCAAGACGAGCGAGAAAGTGAGAAAGAAGAGATCGACGAATCGAATAAGTTTTTGATTTCTTTCTCTTTTTTCATGCGGACTCAATGTTTTATAGTTACTTTCTTGATTTCGGAAGTATATTTTTAGGCTAATTTTATTTTATATTATAGGATTTGTTAGTACTTGAATTGATTTACGATATAGTTTTTATTCGATTTATCTTTCGTTTGTAAATTTCTTGTGCTTATTTTTATTGTATTAGTAGATGACCACTATGAATACATATTTGTAATTTATTTGAGACAGAGATAAGATAATTGATTGCTAGATTTAGAAAATTTATAACACAAGTGAATATTTCGGTCTTGATAGATTTTACGAGAAAACAGAAATCTTAGGAATTTAGGGAGTTGATTATTTATCTTGAGACCAAGAGGATATAAGTAGCAATTAATCTACGATTTAACTTTTGTGAAATAGGATAAATTAATTTAGCGATAATATCTATGAATGGCAAAATTAAATAAAATTTGGATGAATTTAAACGTTTCATGGAATTTATTGCGAGAAAAGCATAACCTAAAATCTATCTTTTGTATATTTCTACTCCATTAGATAAATTAGTTCTTAGGTTAATTTCGTAGTTTACAATCATTATCAAAATTCGTTATTCTAGACAATATTTAATCGTCTTTAATTAATAGTTAAATTAAACTACAATCTCCATGGAATACGGTCTTGCTCGCTGCTTGCTATAGCTACTCCTACACACTTGCACACTTGCACACTTGCGGAAGAAAATTATTATGTAGAGAACAACTAAGACATAAATTCAAGAGAAAATTGCACTTCATACGGTCAGAATAATATTTTATTACATAAGTATAACAACTTAATAAATATTAACATATTAACATAACATACCCTTTTTATTTGCAAAAATACCAGAGAGAGTTTAAATAGAATGCAATCAAGATTTACCATCATTAATGCAAAAAACTTATCACATACCTAAGTAACTACTCCCTATGTAATTGGTAAGAAATATTTTCTCTCACATCCGTAACGCCCCACTTTCAACCTCATCTATCTCCCACAAACTCTGCATCTCTCTCCCACGATGTAAGTGCAAAATATATAACCTCATCTATCTCCCACAAACTCTGCATCTCTCTCCCACGATGTAAGTGCAAAATATATTTGGACTTACTGTAGACATCTACATAACATATACAGATTATATACACTTACTATATATAAGTGTATACACTACATATACACTAAAAAAATCTGAAGGTGAATTATAAAAATCGTAAAATATACACTACATATACATAACAAAAAAAATATTAAAACATTTCAAGACCATTACAAAATCGTAAAATACACTACATATACACTAAAAAAATCTGAAAACGATGAAAAAAAAAATTATAACTATACATGCTTCAATTTCTGTATATTCTGTATATGTCACAGTGTATATATTATATCTTGTTTCTATATATTTTTTGTAAATTGAAGTTTGAATTTAAAATTGCAAGATTTTCGACCAAGCACGATGTGGAAAGAGTCCAATTATTTAATCCTTATACACTTACCTTATCTTTTCTCACTTACACGTGATTATAGAAACCCTATCTCAATTAACATCGTAACCGAATTTTATACGCAGGTCAAATAAATGCAATGGATATGGTAGGCTTACAAAAAAAAATTGACTTCATAATCACGCAATTAATGCAATGGATATGGTAGGCTTACAAAGAGTAATGCTATGAACCAACAGTTGGCTCCTTAGCATTATTGTTCAAACCAAATATTACCGGACATATTTTACAAGAGAATTTTCAACTACAAAAGATAAATGCCATCACTCGAAAAACATTTTCAAGTATACAGACATTTTTTCATTCTCAGATCCTCCTCAAAAAACTCCAAAACTAAGAAAAACTAGCATAAGCGCATATAACAACCACCTTGCACCCTCCTCTCATCTCCCTACTTACACAATTACAAAGAGGGTACACTGCTGGTTTCTCTCTCAAAGACCTCCCTAAGCAACTTATTCATCCTTCAAACTAAAAACACTCATACCTCAAAATACTTACACAACACAATCTCCATCTCACTCTCTCTTCAAAACTTTA